GTCAAGCCCAATGCCCATGTTTTCGAAGGATTGTCGGGGAGGTTGGGTGGAGTATGGACGGTATGGTTGTCCAAATTCGTACATTGAATTGGGTTGTAAATGGTGTGTTGGTTGTTGTGGGGTGTGGTAGTAAAATAGTGGATAGTTGGAGGGGTAGTTAGAGGGGGTAGGGTGAAATGAGTTGTCTGCGCTATAGGTGGAGGGGGTAGGCTCAAAAGACGTATTAGGGCTATAATGGTATGGTGGTTGAGGTTGGGACTGGGTGGGGCATGTAATAATGTTGTTGTTGATAGGGGGTATTTGTTGGCATGTATGGGTTTTTGTAAGGCTGATTTTGGGCACTGGACTATTGTTGTGTGTTTGACGAAGAAGCGCGTTCCCTTGGGTCGACCAAATACGTTGGCTGGGACAGGAAAGGCTGAGATGTCGTGACAGACCTAAACCAAGTCATATATTGAAGACTTGGCCTAGCCCCATGCACAATACGGTCGGTTAAGACGTGTTGCCTTCTTCTCTTTAAGTGTTTACACAACTCCTTCGCAAAGTCCTTCCAATCACTGACACTCCACTGTGAGTCCACCCGCTTTTGATGCCACTGCCCCAAATCTACCGGAGCATCTGGAATATCCTGATGCATCCCAAATTGTAGCTTCACCCGGTCACTTTGGTGCATCTCCACCGTGGTGAACCTAATTATGGGTGTTCTTGATGTCCACACAACAACATCATTAGGGTCGGGCTGGTGGTCGAGACCCTCGTACGACATCCAGACAAACTACAATAAAGGTGGATACATTTAGTCAAACAGAGATAGACAAGGTTATGCATATGAGTTAGACAAATTAAAGTTAAATGACTTACATCATCTGGCCCAAGGTGGTCTATGAGGTTGCAGTATTGAATTATAGAGTGCCTGGGACATCTCTTATAATTCATCCCTGGAACAGACCACCTAAAAAAAATAAACACATATAAGTTAGCATCTAAAACACATCTCACAAATTATAACTTACAAAGAAAATGTAGTTACTAAATAATCTTGAAAAGAAACTTACTTGTTGGCGTACGGGAATGTAAAAGAATTCTGGTTTATTGGAGCAAGCGTTGACATCCTAGACCAACCCCACGCTTGCAGGAGATAAGCACAACCATAGAAAGTATAGGAATTTTTTTTGGAAGTTTTGCAAAGTGCATTATACAGATAGGCGAGGACAGCTGATCCCCAACTATATTCGCACACTTTGTGAATATTTTGTAATAATGGTAAATACATAGTATGAACGGTATCTCTAGTTCCCTCTGGAAATAAAAAGTGACCGAACAAAATCATAATATAGCACCGTGTTTTGACTATTATGTCATATTCGGTGCTATCATCAGTTAATACAATACTGTTGTATTATTCTCTGAGGTATTTTAAATTAATTCCATGACCCCTCGGGCGGCCCTCGCTTTCCGCCTGAGGTGCGTCCAGGAAAAGAGGGGCGCCCAATAAATCTTCGCAAAGTCGGTCAGGGACACCAACTTTTCCGTTGACGGCCTTACCATCGATGTGTAGGCCGAGTAACATGTATACGTCTTGGAGAGTCACAGTACACTCACCAAAAGGTAGGTGAAATGTATGTGTCTCCGGTCTCCAGCGTTCTAACAATGATAGAATAAACTTCATATCGAGAGATTAAGATTTAATTTTGATCACATCACCAAACCCACAATTACGAAGGTACCCCGCTATGAGCGGGTCGTGTGGTATGCAATCATGCACACGACATCGAAACCTTGATACATCCTGCAAAATAATTAATGTTACGTTAGACAAGAAGTAAAATAATTAGGTTAGACAAGAAGTAAAATAATTAACATTAGATAAGAAGTAAAATAATTAACGTTAGATAAGAACTAAAAACTTACAAAGTATGCAATGTTTTCATTCGTGCCTCTATGAGAGTCGCCCATTGTGAGTAAAGACATTATCGTTTGAGATGTTAAGATGTAGAGATATTGAGAGTTTGAGGGTTTGAGAGTTAGAGAGTATGAGAGTTAGAGAGTTTGGGGGTTTGAGAGTAGGAGAGTTTAATTGTGAGCAGAGTTTGCTGGGTAAAGACACTATATTTATATTCCACGAGTGGATGTGTGTTGTAAATGTATGTGGACAAGTGTATTGATGCATGTAGGTTGTAAACGCATGTGGGACAAGTGTACTGATGCATGTGTGTTATAAACGCATGCGGGACAAGTGTACCGAAGCAATGTCAAACACTCAAGCATGCTGCATGCAGGATCCTATGTGAAAGGCAGATTCCTTCATTGTCCCGTCTCATCAAGCAGACTGCATGCAGGATCACATGTGAAAAGCAGATTCCTTCATTGTCCCGTCTCATCAAGCAGACTGCATGCAGGATCACATGTGAAAAGCAGATTCCTTCATTGTCCCGTCTCATCAAGCATGTTGCATGTCATTGAATGCTGCATTGTCCTGCCTCATCAAGCATGCTGCATGTCATTGATTCCAAAGGCTTTGATTACATGTAATAGATTTGATTGCAATACATATATGAAATTTTTTTACTATCAGAGTCTTTTTAATGGTTACATGTGAAACACAAAGTTTTTCTTATATTTATTATAGTTTGTTTAGTGAGGTTTTAGTGAGTCACATGTGAAATGCAGACTCTTGGCCTAGTCCCGTCTTATCAAGCATACTGCATGCAGCAAGAGAATCTCGTAGGCCTGCATGGTCAATGTAGGCATGCAGGGTCACATGTGATTCGCAGAGTTTTGCTATTGTCCTGTCTTATCAAGCATGCTGCATGTCATTGGCTTCAAATGCAATGATTGTGGTAAACAGATGCGTGACAAGGTAAACAGATACATGTAAAAAATCTTTAAACTCTTTAAACACTCAAACACTTAGAGTATTTAATAAAGTCTTTAAACTCTTTAAACTCTAACACTAAAACACTCAGACCCTCAAATAGTCAAACCCTCAGACACTCAAACACTCAAACACTCAAACACAATTTTTGCTATGTCTCAAACACCACAATATATGATTTCAGCACATCTTAACGGTGAAGTTTTCGAATGTGAACTATCTGGTTTCAATTTCAGAAACACTGAAGTTACAAGATTTTTAATTGACAGAAGGTCTAATTTTTTACACCTGAAGTCAAGAATAGAAAAAAAGTGCAATGTGGTCCAGTTGGGCAAATAATATACAAAAACCCAGTGTTTTTTGGCGGCCATGTTGAATGTAAATTTTTCCCGTTAAAGGTGTGAGACGATGAAGATGTGCGTAACATGTTCCGGAGTCACGAGTATTCTGGTTTCTCAGATATCGTATTATATGTTACGTTACAACAACAACAACTGTCTCAGCAACTTGATTCTTCTTAAGTTTTTTGCGATTCTGAGGATGAACACGCTGAAGTCAATGTTGTTGACGAGGAAGAAGAAGCAACTGAAGTCGCTATTGATGATATGGTAAACAACCAGGAGGACGGGGTTCCACCCGACAATGTTTATTGTCCGCCTAAACACATGACAACTCTCGACTTGGGTGACGATGAACCCTCGACGGATGTTTTCTACAACCCCAACTACACAACAGAAGGGCAACTAAAAGAGAGTGACGAGTTTCGTACGAAAGAAGATTGTGTCCGGGCAATGCAGATGACGACGACGACGAAGAACGTTGATTTAGAAATGCAGACATTCTAGGCTCCACTCAACTCAAAATGCACTAAAGCTTCAGTCTATTGAGATACAATGTTGTGAAAACATACATGTGTTTGCAGTCTTATTTATAGTAAATAAAATAGTACGTACCCCATATGATATGACTTAAATACCCTTACAAAATTTATACACTTTAAACTTCAATGGTTAGTTAATTTTTATGTTTTAAAAGTTATTATTAAATCAATTTATCTACCTTAAAATTAAATCAACACTCAATTTTTATTTTGTATTTAAACCTAAATTTATTAAACCAATTTAAGTTTATTTTTAATTAAACCTAAATTTAATAAATTAATTTGAGATTATTTTTATTTAAACCTAATTATTTTAAGTTTATTAATTAAAAATTTAATTTTAACATTAAATCTAATTATTTTAAGTTTATTAATTAAAATTTTAATTTTAACATTAAATCTGATTATTTAAAATTTATTAATAATAATTATATTTAAAAACAAAATTATAATTAAAAATAAAAAAAAGTTATTGATATTAAATACATTAAAACATTAATTAAAATTAAAAAATATTCAAAATTAAAAATATAACAAAAAAATTGATATTAAATATGGTTGCCCTAAACAAAGCCATGTCGCCTATGGACTGACGATTTCGTCCCATTTGCTCAATTTCGCCAATCAGATTGGCGAATTCCTTGAAGACGTTTTTGCCAATATCACCATACTGAATGACGATTGTCTATTGAATAGTAATTGGTTTGGTAATTTTTCTGAATCACGCTTTAATTTAATTTGGTAATTTGTTTCAAATACATGGATAATTTAAAATTTTTTTTTAAAAAGTAACAATAATTATTAAGTTTTTTTGATAGGTGTAAAAAATAAAAAAGTGACAATTAAAAAAGAATTCTAGAGATAGAAAAAATAAAATAAATAATTAAAAATATTTTAAATAGATAAAAATTATTATATTAAAATTTTTTGATTAATTTTCTTAATATGTGTAAAATATAAAAAAAAATATTTAAAAAGGAACGGATGAAATGAACTAATTGCAAAAGATATTTTTTGGATCAAAATTGTCCTCATTTAGTGAGGTGGCAGATTTAGATAAAAAGGGTAATGCAGAGGTTTTTCACACTATGTAATTTTTTTTTTTTAATATTATAGATATCATAAAGGAGTCAAAAAGAGGACTTATTCCGAAAAGGCGACGACTCTACTCCTTTCTAGTCCCCACCTCCCTACGCCGTTTCTGTTTCTCTCCAATTTTCTGAATTTCGTTTCCGTGTGATTCAAATGGGAACTCCAGAATTTCCAGATCTAGGAAAACACTGTGCTGTTTCCGATTGCAAGCTTATTGATTTCTTACCCTTCACATGCGATCGATGCAACCAGGTTTCCACATTTCTCTTACTCATTTCATCATTATTTTCAAAATTTTCAACATTGATATGTGATTAGTTTATATTTTTAAGTTTTGAATTCGTGTTTGATCTGTTTTGTGGATGATTTTGATTTCATGCTATTTCTTTGGTGTAAATCACTTTTTCAATGAGCTTATCCATTTAAGCGTAGTTTCGAAGAGTTTATTTAGAATTTATTCGAATTTTTCAAATCAAATATAAGTTGTTTTTTATTTGTTTTTGTTAGCTCCGAAAAATAGCTTATATGAATAAGCAAATAGTTTGTATATCTAGAATAGCTTATCAATTAAGAACATGATTAAACTATTTAACTCGCTAGTGGTACTTGCTGTCAATTGATACAATGTCTAGAAAATTGTGGTGACAAAAATCGGTTAGTAGTTCATGTTTGGATTAATGATTGAAACAACCTCATTTTGCAAACAGGTTTTGCTAAATAAACCTTCTCGTTGCTTTTGTTTCAATGTTTTTGAATTGTGGTTATGGTGGAATACCATGACAGATATTTTGATAACCACCATTGTCAATTTATGAAGGGGTGCTCCCCATGGTGCTGCCATAGGCCACAATGGTGTGTTTATATGGTGGATTTTCAGTCTTCCGCCATATTTTGCCATCCATCATGAACAATACTGTTCCATTTCAAACTGAGTTTAGAGGAAAAGTTGGTTTTGCAAGATAAGAGTTGGTTAGTAATTTTGATGAATAGAGCAATACAAGAATGATCTGAGTAATAGGTTTTCTTTGAAAATTAGTAATAGAGAACCTAAAGATAGGTTGGTTGAGGCACGTAATTATGTTATTGCGTTAAAGTTAATAATATACATGTGATGATTAAGAGTGGGAAATCAAAATCCACAAAATAAAATATCATCAACTTATTATGTGCACGAATGTGAAGTAATGTTGTAATGTTTTAAGCTTAAAAATTCTAAATGATGAAACTTGACGAAAACTCTTGTCCTAAGAAATTTTTGTTTACTTTTTCCCGGCATGATTTTCATTTTTGGTTCGTATCAATCATTATATTTCTTTATTTCTTAAATGCCCCTTAACTTCTCTAGTTCATGCTAGCAACAATGTTTTTACTTTGATTTTTCATGATGAGATTCTGGGGATTTTTTTTTTATGGATTTTTATTCTTCCTCCTTTTAATCTTAAGAGCTCTTTGTTTGACCTAACTGTATTGGCCAAATCCATTTTAGGTGTATTGTTTGGAACACCGAAGATATATCAAACATCAGTGTACAAAAGCTGACAAGCAAGATGTCACTGTAGTAATATGTCCACTTTGTGCGAAAGGAGTTCGCCTAATTCCTGATCAAGATCCAAACATAACATGGGAGAATCATGTGAACACCGACTGCGACCCATCAAATTATGAGAAAGCTACAAAAAAGAAAAAATGCCCTGCAGCTGGATGCAAAGAGATCTTAGTATTCTCAAACACAATTAAGTGCAGGGATTGCATGGTAGGCCATTGTTTGAAGCATAGGTTTGGACCTGATCACAAATGTCCGGGGCCTAAAAAATTGGAATCAAGTTTCTCTTTTACGAACCTTATGAATAGGAATAGAAAACAGGAGTCTAAAACGAATTCAAGTTCAACCTCCTCCTCATCTAAGTGGACAACGAGCTTTCTTAATGCGGCTTCTAATATCCGAGCTTCAGCTGAGGCTGGAATTTCGAAGTTGAGTGGTGAAATTAATCAAGCCTGGGGGATATCAAGTGATGTTGGGGGAAAGAGCAGTAGCAGTGGTCAAGCGGAGCAATGCCCTCAATGTGGTGCCAAATTTTCTTCGGTAACTTCTTTGGTCGATCATGTACGAAAAGTTCATGAAAGAAGTGCTAACCGATCTTCAGAAAAAGTTACAATTGATGCGTGTCCAAAGTGTAGTAAAGGATTCAGAGACCCTGTGTCCCTTGTGGAGCATGTTGAAAGAGAACATGGTGGCACTTCTAGAGCGTAGGTATTAAGTTGATATTGAATTATTTTTGACTTGAAGAAATATAGCATGAATTCAGTGTTTAAACATTCATCTCCCTACTTTTATTGAAACAAGGTATGAATTTGAAGATTTTGTTATTATTTGCATCATGATTGATAGTTTGATTGCTTTACTAGTTTTCATCTACAAATTTCTTCTTTCATGGTTTCAATCAAACTGACCTTTTGAATTGGCATTAAGGTCTCATTTGTTTTAAATATTTTAAAAATCATTTTTGATGGTCTAGTTATGTTTTATGTTTATGTGTAGCTATTTTACAAGATTATTTTAATGTAGAAAATGAAAGTTACTTTGAATTAGCTTTTGAGAAAATTATTTTTAATAGATGGGAGAAAAAACATAAATTATGGTGTCTATTTTCAATAATATTAATAAAAAACTATTTTAACATAGTTTTCAACTTGAATGTTTTTTAAACTATAGTTTATATATTTTTTCTTAAATGTATCTCTAATGAGTAATCTCTAAATTATCTATATAAAAACAATCTTTAATGAATTTAAAGTAAACTGTCTCTATATAGTAGTTTGGCAAGGGTGATCCTTTGTTCATGAGGTTAATTTTTCCAACCTAAGTGGCGGATAAACACCCTATAAAAATTCGACATTGTCTGTACGAATTCGGAAGTACATAAATTAAATCATACATTTATTAAATAAGATAAAGTGTGATATATAAATAGTTTAATTGCAATTTTGATCCTTTTTATTTTGTCTTATTTTTAGTTTTGGTCTTCTCATTTTAAAAATTGCGATTTTGGTCCCTTTTTTAAAATTTTGAGTTAGATTTTGATCCTTTTTGGGGGACTAAAATCTAACACAAACTTAAAAAAGACCAAAAATATTATTTTTAAAATGTGAGACCAAAACCCCCAAAAAAGCAAAATAGGGGGATCAAAGTTGCAATTAAGCCTATATAAATGAATCAATCATGAATTCAGAATTTAGTCAAATATTAGACTACTGCTAATGTCAGACTCCTCCTTCGTTCGATGCCTCATGTACTGCAATATCGTTCGTGCCTCAGTAAGAATGACATCTACAATGGTCCTTTCAGAAGTGTCTTTCGGAAAGTCTCCTAATATGATGACATGTAGACAACACATCAACGACATGATCTTCCCTAACCTGCTCCTCTAATATTTCGTGATGAACTGGTCTAGGTGAATCTTCTTTTGCATCCAATGTCATATGAGAAAGTAGGGATGACAATAGATGGAGTATGGGCAAGGTACTATAGTACCCGTCCCCATACCCATGGTTTAAAAAATCCCTGTATCATAGCTCATACTCGCGTGGGCACTAACATTTGTACTCGTACCCGTATTCTATAGGTACCTAAGTACCCATACCCATACCTGTTTACCCGCATTTTCAATTATAATTTATCTTTTTAATAAAAGAAATAATAAATTAACATATTTACATGATAATAAAAATAAAAAGATTAAAATATATATTGTGCAGGAAATGGGGTGGGGTGAGTATTAAGGTACCCGTACTCGTGCACATATTTGCTTATTTTACTGAGTAATTGCCCGTATCCATTTTGCGGGTTTTTACCTTTCTCGTTATGGATAATTTTTGCGGGTACCCACTAGGGATGAGTCTAATTGCCATCCCTATATGGAAGTGACACTCTGTAATACTACTGAACATAGTCGCATGCAAAACTCCATTCGTTAGGAGCTAAGACGCCCCATGTTTTATCTGATATTAGATGATTAAGAAAATCATCATACATGGCATCTACATATCTGCGAAACATAGCGACAAGGAACGAACACAAAGGTTTCACTTTGAATAACCTGCATATACATGAACTAGCGCATGACTCGCTCTGGTTGATGTGGATACATTTGACGTGACCCATAAGCCAAACATCCAGAGTAGAAAGTTATGTCTTCCAAGGGATGCGTCTAACAGTGATAGTTGTACGAACGAAAGTGTAACATCCCAGTTTTTAAATTAATATATTTTATTAAGTCGTATACGCTTAAATGATTTGTTGGAGTGTTCTATGTGCTTCAGTGGGGTTATTTGAGGTGGGGTAGAAGTCATATTATTTATTATTATTTTTTGATTATTTAAAATAATAGAAAATTGGATAAAATAATGAAATAGTGAGTTATGAAGGAAAATAGAATAATAAAGTAAGTGGTGGGATAATGATAGATATACCAAAGGTGGATGGGGAGAATTAGAACTAATAAAAGATAATGTTACGTTTTTATTTTTTTAAAAAGGAGGAAAATAGGTTTATGCAGTACGCGAAACTTGGGAAGAGATGAGTTGTAGAGGGAAGATAACAAACCTAGAGGAAAGAACTATCATTGCTGAAAATTCAACCTTTTGCTGCAAAATTCAAGTAGGAGGGGCGGTGAATTATTCACTATTGGGTGTATATTTCATAAGGGATAGTGACGGATCCTCACCCCCTTCCTTGTTGTGTTTTCATTTTTCTTCATTGATAAGTTTATGGATGTGGATAAGGTTTATGCATAACCTTTCTCCTAATTTCTGTGATTTATGTTAATTCATGCACTGATTTTACTGTTGGAATTCGTGTACCAAGATATGTAAAAATTGGAATGTTGGTGTTTATGTATACATGTGTTAACATGATGAATACATTGTTGTTTGGTGATAAAATAATGGTATGAGTGGTTAATCTGTAAATAATTTCTATTATGAATGTTGTGTAATTGTGGATAATATTTCTCTATGCGATTTGGGTGTTCTAGGATAAAAAATCGGAGTTTTGAAAAAGCTCTAATGGTGAAAACACTGTTTAAGTGTTCTACACAGTGGTGACGGGCGTCACCACCATGACGAGCTGACCGTCACTGTGCTGAGAGAGCTAATGACCGTCAGACTGATGACAGGCCAACCGTCATGGTCTCTAGAGCAGACGACCCTGTCGGCCGTCGCCTGGATGACGAGTGCGTGAGGGGGGGGGGGGGGGATGAAAGACATGTAACACCCTAAATCCCGACTCTTAATTTAAAAGAATAAAATCATCATTTTAGGATTCTACTCAAACATAACATGCATACTTTCCAATTAATTTCAAAACTCGCAACGGAACTCGAAATAAATAACATAACTGCAATTGTCTCTTCAGATGAGGTACTTAATGAAATTAACAACATTCAAAACATTAACTCAAAAGAAATTAAACCTTTTATTCTCCAATGTTACAGATCAGAGCATTAAATCAATTAAATAGCGATAAACAATAAAATAAACGAAGAAAGCTCCAAGGCGATCTTCGAACTCACAACAATACTTACTCCTCTTGAGTATCTGTACAATAATTTACAGAGCAACATAAAACAAACAAGAAAGAGGTGAGAATACACTCAAATATATTAATGGTGTAAAATAATACAAGGGTAGCTTAAATTACACAATCAACAACACACATTCAATTTACACAACAACACAACAATCAACTCACATAACCTTTATGTATGCAATGTGACTCACAACTCGGCTCAATGCATGTAGAACCAATTTGGAAATCAAAGGTTTATTACTGATCTTGTCCACTCAACAATGGTTTCTCATTCTAACCGAGTCCCCACTTCCGAACCCCAGAAGATCACTAGTCCTAACTTCTAAACCTGTGACTCACCTCTTTCAACACTGACATCTATGATGCATGACATACAAATAATGCATACAACAATTGTGGTTCCACATCTAACCATAAACAATAGTTGTAATGCATTTCACAGTGTTGTACCCCAAAATTTGCTCAACTTTTTTGTACTTGGCTTATGTTTCTTTTTGCATTTTCTGCATTGCATAACATTCGTTCTTGAGGCATGGGGTCAAGGCATTCTTGTGGCTCAGGTTCATTTTGGCGCAAAGGACTGACAGACTGAACAACAAGCATCAGAGGCTCTGGCATTTATTTTGCCCAGCGGTCGAGCGACCGATTTTATTTTATGTTGCAGGGTATTTTCAGCTCAGGAAGCAACATTCAGGCTAGCACAAGCATTTTCATGGGTATAGCATTCAACAACAAGTTTCAGAAGCAGAACAGAGCTCAAAACGGCTGAAAACGAGCAAACAGGCAGATTTCCCTCCAAAAGGCGCCAAAATTCAAAATTTGGAGGTGTTAATCGGTTAACCTATATGGTTAATTGATTAACCAAGTCAAAATTAGGGCTGGGATTTTTAAAGGTGTTAACCGATTAACCTATATGATTAATCGATTAACTAGTGCAATTTTTGCCTCTGCACGTGAATTTTCAATGCAAGCTGTTTTGGGGTCCAATTTTGGTCATGTGCAAATATGATTTTCACTTTGGGAATGATCTATAACTTATTTGAAGTTTGGTTAATTTCATTTTCCCTCCAAATGCCCATTCCTCATTCCCAACCAAAATTCACAAACCATATTCCAAACCTCTCATTTGGATCCAAGCTTAAGTGATATTTAAGTGATCCACTCCAAACCACACACATCTAATCACTCATAATTTCATTTCAAATTCAGAATTGATCTCACTCTCTCTCAATTCTCTCTCAATTTTCCATCTTCCAAAACCTTCACCAAAGCTCTTTTCCATTGAATTCTTTGATTCTTCATTGAATCAATGAATTCTTGAGCTCAAACCTCCATCTGTCATCTTCATTGGATCAATTTCTTCATCCAATTTTCGTGCAAAATTGGATCTGAATTTGGAAGTGATTATTTGGCTTATTTTGGATTGAACTTGAAGGATCTTCATTGCTACTACAAGAATTTGTGTGGATATTGAAGTATTCTGGACTTCTAGCATCGGATCTGTTCAATTACAGTTGAATCAACATTAACCGGAGCAAATCTCCGCTCCGAAGGTTGGATCCGAATCTGTTTTTAGCGTATTTGCATAATCATGTGGATTTTCATCTTTGATTGAATTTTGGTTAATTTGATTCGATTGATTCATGATTTGATTGTGTTGATCT